GATAAACTCACCTCGAGCATCTCAAACAAGCCCTCTTTCGAGAACGGCTTGGGCAAAATATCATTCATCCCTACACCAACAGCGCATTAGACCCGCTTCCACTCAAAAAGCGCATAAAACTCACCAGACGAGTAATAAGTCATAATCTCATTCGGCTTCGAGTTGCTCGTCATCGAGATAATCGGCGTCATATGATCGAACCGGCGAATGAGCGACGTCGCAGACACACCGTCCATCTTGGGCATAACAATATCCTATCGTCCAAAAAGGCGTATCAGTAAACATCCAGCTCGAGATGACACGCCCCGCTCCCACTCCCACTCCCACTCCACAAACACTCTGCTCCCAACTCCCAATCCACCTCACCCCCACTCCACAAAAACCCAATCTTTTGCTGTACCCCAAAACAAGAAATCGCACAACGCAATCGAAAAACGGCAATCCGCACCCCCCAAAAGAACACCACGAAGACAACAACCAAAGTGAAGGTGGACTCACCATCAACACCAAATCGTACTTTTCCAAATTCATCTTATCGACCGCACCGACTCCATCGACCGCAACATCGATCATACACCCAAACACCTGCAAAAACTTTTTGCTTAGGCGCAAGTTCACCGCGTCGTCGTCGACCAATAGCACACGGGGTGGAACAGCCCAGCCAGGGACGTATGTCGTCCTGCGCACGCGGAGGGACTTGGCTGATGGGCCGGGCCCGGCAGAAGGTCCTGGAGCAGATGAAGTAGACGGACCGGCTGCGGGTGTTGGGCCGTGGTAGTTTGCGGGAGGACTGTACGGGCCGAGATTCATATCTTGCTGATGTTGCTGCATCTGAGCCTGCTGTTGCTGAGGGTGATGTCCCTGCTGGTTCTGCTGCTGATACTCCATCCCCATCCCGTCTCCTCCACTCGAACCATTACGGGGAACCAAATGTCCAAGCGTGATAACCTGCAAGCCCTTGTGCGCTTCCTCTTCTTTTCGCTGCTGCTCAAACATTTGACTGTTCAGCATCGGCAAGAAGCTCGAGTGCGTGAACGGTTGTTGGTCTGGTCGCTCGCGTTGCAGATCTTCGACTCGCCCGAGGACTTCTTCGCGCGTCATGGATTGGACGGGTTTACCATTGATCGAGGGGGTGGACATTCCGTTGGACATGTTGCCTTGGTTCGAGGACATGCCTTGGTTAGAAGACATGCCCTGGTTGTTGGACATGCCTTGGTTCGAGGACATCCCGCCTTGGTTGGACGACATGCTGGACTGGCTGGACGACATCCCGTTCGACTGGTTCATCCCTCCACCCATCCCGTTCTGCATTGCGTTCTGCATTCCCTGCATGGCTTGCATCCCGCCTCCCTGGCTCTGCATCCCTCCTTGAGCCTGCATGCCCTGCTGCCCCATATTTCCTCCATTCTGCTGCATCCCGCCCTGCATGCCCGATTCCACAAACGCCATCCTCGAACTCTCCGCGCGCCTCGAGATCTCGTTCATCTGCTCAAACGACGCACGCGCCACGTCCTGCGAATTCAAGTCGAAAATCTTGCTCGTGTCTGCCCCGTTCATAAACTGATGCTGCTCCCCGTCGGGCGGAGGTGTCGTACCCGCTCCCCCAGAGTTCTTTTCTACACCCAATGTCAATTAATCGAAACATTTTAAATATAACAAGACTCACTGTTCTCCATGCCAATAAAATACCCAATCAGGTTCTGCATCAGCCCATCCTGATTCGCCATATTCCTCTGAAAATGAACAATCTCCCCAAGCACATTCTGGTAATTCGTCTCCAAATTCCGTATATGCGCACTCATATCCTCCGCCGTCTGCCTCAAGCCCTCCAACTGCTCCTCATGCGCGCGCCGCGTGCTCTCCTGGCTCGCGCGCATCGCCTCGAGCTGGGCGAGCAGCAGCCGGATCGTTTCAGATTCGCGAGGCGGGTCCGAAGCAGACGGGCTCGCCGCATTGCCGTTGTCTGCAGCGGGGGAAGGTGCTTCGGTCTTGGTGCTGTTGGGATTATTGCTGGGGGTGGCAGTGACGGGTGTGGGAGGGACCGGTGCCGAGGTGCCGGTGCCGTTTCTCGATTTGCGTGCGGCGGGGACTTTGCGTTTGATGTTTTCGAGTGCGTCCCGGTCGTCTGCGCGGAAATCGGGGTGCTTGAACGTCCAGCTCTGGAGTGTGGCAGTGTTAGCGAAAAGGAAAATGAGGGAGGGGGGAGGCGAGACTTGCCTGGTCGCCGTAGCCCATGCCCCCGGCCTCGGCCTCGGCGTTTTTGAGCTTATGAAAGTCGTATTTGTTGAGTTGACGGACAAACGAGGCGAAATTGGAGTGCTTGAACATGCGCGGGAGGATGGACTTGGTGAACTCGGTCACATCTTTCACGACAAAGCAGTCGCCTTGCGGCCCCCATGTGACGACGTGCGCAAACTGGGGGTCCTCGAGCATCCTATAGAACCATAAGCGGGTGAAATGAGCACAAACGGGGGACTGACTTGAAGAGCTTCTTGACAAAGTCGCTCGTGGGTGGCATGTTATCGTCGACATCTTTGGGGAGTTCGGCGACGGTGGGGACGCTGCGTGCGCTCGAGGCACGCGAGTCGGCGTACGTCTCGCGGCGGCCACCGGCATAGCCCGAGTAGGATGCATACGGCGCATTGCCGTTTTCGACAGGCGGCGGGTACTCGCGCAGCATGCCCTCTCTTCGCTCATCCCTTCGCAAATCGTCCCTCGCACTTGACAGTCCGTGTCGCCATGTGGAAGCCGGCGGGGGTGGATGGATGGGGTCGAGCTGGGAAGGCGCAGGGACGGGGTGGATGTGTGCGTTGTAGGGGGCGGGGCGCTGGGTGAGCAGCGGGGGGAAAGGCGAGGGCAGCGGAGGGAGGGTGAGGTTGCGGGGGTGGTGGTGGGCGTAGAGGTCGGGGCGCGGACCGGCGTCTCGATTGCGGTCCATTGTAATAGTGCGAGGAGGAGGTCGAGGGCTGGGAGCAGGGGCCGAGAACTGCTGCTCAAGAGTCGAGCCAGCCAGCCGAGACCCCAGAGAGACCCTGACGTCATCCACATCCCACGCTCCGATTATGTCATGCCCCCCATCCCTGCACCCCTGTCTGTCCGGCTCCTCCGCCGCTGCCCGTTGCGCCCCCACGACTGCCCTGTCCTCGCCCCCAACTGCGCCCTTCCCGCTCGCCGTCCCGACCCATCGCCAACATCAGTGTGAGAGCTGCGACGTCCAGACATCAAACTCTGCCCTCGCATCCACCCCTTGTGCACAGTTATCACAGACAGATAACACCGAAGAGACACGACTGTACCTGCGTGTATGCCCTCGGCATCTTGCCGAGCTTCGCGAACGCTGGTGGCGTCTAGCGCGCGGCATTTGTGCGGCTCTTTGGGAAGTACACTATGCCCTGCTTGATCGTATTGCAGATCTGTTCACACCAAATATTAAAGTTTGGCCTTGGCGACCTGCGTTGGGTATATGCAGGTAATGTCTAGAGTGTTCTACCGCCAGTGATATATTGCTCTGAACTTAAATTGCCTTGGTGTCGGCCGAGTCCTAAAATACAGAGAGCAGATGAGTGGACTAAAGCGAGCCCCTCCAGTGCGCACTGTCGTTTGTCGGGGTTTCAATTGAATCTATTCTTTCAACCACGTCTCAGAGAGTTATACGAGCAGAACCCACCTCCCCTGGTTCGAACACTTTCCCACATACCATACAAAGTTTGGCCGACCATATTGCTGACAAGCGCGTCGGACCACAAGATCCGTTTTTTCTCGGGCACACGACACTGCTTTATTGTTACTCAAACTTTCTGTCCTTCTTGTACAGATATCCCAAACGAACGATGTCTATTGGTCATTTCAGTGGACGCAGCAATTTAGGCGTATCCACTCCACAACCTTCGTTCAACTGATTAACTCAAGAAGACAGCTCGTAGAATGCAGGCTGAACTAAATCCTTCAAGTGCGAATCATCGTTGACCAAATCTTCAGACACACTTCCTACTATACCGCAAACTCTATCTACCGTACCTTCACTAGCTCAGAAGCTTTCTCACCGACCATACAAATTTCATTGAACTATTATTGACAAGCGCTTCCCGCTCCCCCTCAGGCACGCGACACTTGCTCGGATTTTCAGGCCGCCCGTACGAGTTCAATACAAAAATGAGGTTATTGGCCGTCGATACGAAAGCGTATAGTTGGGTCTTTCGGGTCCTGGAATATTGGACATTTGGGAGACCTGGTTCTTTGAAAGACCACGCTTCGACTCTAACCAAATAGTATGTTTTCCGTTACTTTTCACCAGCCTTCACAGCGCATACACCCTCCTCATCTCACAGAAGGCGCCAAATCATATCCTCAGAGCACCTGCTCCACAAAGTTCGAGACTGGATCGCCCAAAGGCTGAACGAATCCCGTCACTTGCCACCTGTCCAGACAGTAATCAATTGTAATTACCGTCGACTGAGATGGACAGACGTTCTCGAGCCCAAGTCTCGAATCCTAGAAAACAAAGATTAAACTTGGGCAGTGGCCCAGAAACTCAAAGACTCCGACTGAGACCAAACCACCTTGAGCAAAACAAATTTACCGAAAACGCATGGGCTGAGAGGCAAACGCGTGCTGAGCGACTGTTACAGTCAGCAGGGGAAGGTCATCGGACACGTTTGTGATAATAGATATGCGTCACTGAGCCTTAGAAAGGCTACTTTACGGAAGTTAAGGCTGATTTACGGAACCGCAAGGGAGCGTTTGCACGAAATGACGTTGAGATTGCCAAACGCCGCCGGAGACTTCTGCCACGCCTAAAACAACATTGAGCCACGTTGATGAACCACGTTGGGCAGCCACCGAGCGCTTGAATCGGGCCAGGGACCTGACGGAGATGAATCTAGGGGATTAATTGGGATTGTATTGATACAATGTTTAGGCGTTTGCCGAGCTAGAAAGGCCACCCGAATTGTGACAAAGTCATAGGTCAACACAGCGACAACTGCTGGACAAAAAATAGTTAGTCCTAGCGAGGGTTGAACTCGCGGCCCATGCATCTCACGTAATGAGCCAATTACGTTGAAAGGTTTCCCATAAGTACATTGCTCTACCACTGAGCTATAGGACTATCACTAAGGGTCTTCCTTCATAAGCCATAAGTAGCTTACAGCTCCGAGACATTGAGCTCCCCGCATTTATACAGCTTCACTTCCTTCTCTTCCGAGAGCTTCATCCCGACCATCGCGACTGAAATAACATTACACTATCTTGGCACTGCTATCCAAGGCGGCCCGTCAGAGCGCTCGTGCTCCCGAACTCTCCCGCTTGCTCCGGCCCGCCATATCCGCCCATCCGACTCTTTCCTGCACGCGAGCTTCAAAAAGCGATGTAACTCGTCTCTATACTTACATCCACCCCCCTCGTTACTCTACAAGGTACGCCTAACGCGTTATCCGGCTCCGCTGAGGACTTACCAACACCCCTTTATTATCCTTGCTTTTATTTCGGGCGACAGCTCCGCTTGCAAGGCGCGCGTGATTTGACACGTGATAGACTCTCGGATCTCTTAAAGGTAGTGTGCTCATCGTTCGTCGGTGCTACCATACTAGTACTTATAGACGGTTTGCAGCACCTCTCTTGTATTCAACTACTGCCTTTCCACCATGTCCGAGGAAGCCCCCAGCACCGATCTCATCACTCTCACCCGGTAAGCTACTCATTCATCTTGGGTATCTTAGTCAAAGTCTAAACAAATGCGTGCTTTCTTCGTCGTATACGATTAGCTCTGTATTGGCGGAGCAGTTCCGCCTTGGACCTGCGGCGACGGGTGACCTTACGTTGCTCCTCAACGCGATCCAGGTAACATCCAAATTCATCGCAACCAACGTCCGTAAGGCGCGTTTGATCAACCTGTAAGCGAGCTCCTATTTCCACTCGCCCCGCTCTGATGATTGACGTACGATTGGTTATTTGTAGTGTCGGTCTTGCGGGTGAGACGAATGTCCAAGGCGAGGAGCAAAAGAAACTCGATGTGCTCTCGGACGACATCATGGTCAATGCGCTGCGAGCCTGTGGGAAGACCTCGGTGCTCGTCTCTGAGGAGCGGGAAGAGGCTGTTATCATTGAGGATAGGTTAAAGGTGCGTATCTACCTCGGTTGGACTTTGTGCTCGGGAGTAACAGGGATCGCGTTCGGATAGGGTAAATACTGTGTTGTGTTTGACCCGCTGGATGGATCTTCAAATATCGACGCTGGTGTGAACATCGGTACCATCTTTGGAATTTACAAAGTTGTGAGTAGTTATTCCGGTATCTCCTATTTGGCCGACTCTGATCGCACCCACAGCGAGAGGGCTCGGTTGGTACGGTCGACGACGTCCTGCGCCCAGGTAGCGAAATGGTTGCTGCCGGGTACACTATGTATGGATCCTCCGCCAACTTGGTCCTCACGATGGGCAACGGTGTCAACGGCTACACGCTCGACAACTCCCTCGGAGAGTTTATCCTCACCCATCCAGACGTACGTTGTATGCGCACGAGATAAGGTTCAGGTGCTAAATACATGCATGCTGGTGTTTGCAGATCAAGATTCCCCCACGTGGAAAGATCTATTCGTTCAACGAGGGTAACTCGATGTACTTCCACCCGCCGGTACTCAACTACCTCGAGTCGATCAAATTCCCGAAGGGCGGCAAGTCACCGTATTCGGCGCGATACATCGGGTAAGTCTTCAACTTGGACTCAACTCGCGTGGCATGGGCTGACCCTTGGGTTCTAGGTCCATGGTTGCGGACGTCCATCGTACCCTCCTCTATGGTGGAATCTTCGGATACCCGGACGACAAAAAGAGCAAGAGCGGGAAGCTTCGTATCTTGTACGAAGCGTTCCCGATGGCGATGCTCACCGAGCAGGCGGGAGGATTGGCGATCACTGGTACTGGACGTATCCTGGACATCGTGCCGACGAGCATCCACCAGAGGTGCCCGGTGTTCCTTGGTAGCAAGGAGGATGTTGAGGATTTGGCCAAATTTTACAAGGAGCAGGCGTGAGGGGGATATATGGTATAAGATGTATTTTTAATCAACATTATATGGATTTTTTGAAACCTCGATGGGGAGTAGAGTGAGAGAAAATCCAGGAGATGCAAGTAGTATACAGTGTGACGAAATATCCGGATACACAAGATATAAGTACAGGCGGCAGGCTCGATAAATGAACAAAATAAAACCAGACCCGGAATTATTGAGATGGTTCGTAATCAGCATCAGAATCAGCATCTGCTCCCCCAACCCAGTGAGGAAATATGTCTGGCCACTTCTTCTCCCACTCCAGGGGGCTTGCTGCCAGCGCGGCTCGTTCGCTCGACGTAGCCGCTCGTGTCCTGGGCGTTCGGCTCAAAGCAATACCCCTCTCCTTTGAGCTAGATGCTTGTGATTTGAGGTTCGCAGGTGTAGTCGCAGGGGCAGAAATGGGAGCGCGAGATGGGGTAGGCGCTGCTATTAAAGCAGGAAGTATAGTTGGTGCGGGCATGGACTTGGATGCAGATACTGGCGGAGGTCGAACGGGTGTATCTGTATGCGTTGATACATCGTCGGGTTCACGCTTCGGCGTAAAGGGGGCAGCTAACATAATTGGTGACATGGGACCTGACTTGTTCTCCTTTTGCTTTTTCCTAACAGGCGAGACTTGAAGTGCGTGGCGCCATTGCTTGGAGCTACGTGTTATTGTCACTTTGGTGGACGAGCTGCCCATCAGGCGTTCTTGCCGAGTAGGGGGTGGTGGTGTTTCAGGGACAGCGGTCTCTTGCGTGAACGGGAGGCTGTCTTTCGACGCGCTATTGATTACGCTTGGTGTCGTTGGGCTAAGTGGTTCGGCTTTGCACTGGGGAGTTGTGGAAGGAGGGACTGGAGCTGGCATAGAGGGTTCCGACCTGAGTGCGGCTGTATGGGTACGCGGGGTGCGGGTGATAGATTTTGGGTCTTTGCTTGGAATTGATTGAGGTACGTTTCGTTGGGCAGGCGTCGGTGAGCCGGAGGCTCTGGCCCTTGCTTTCTTTGGCGCCTGGTTGGCGACCTTATTCGTGTCTGCCTCTAGTTCTGCCTCGGCTGCGTCCCGTTTGCCAAGTATGCTAGTATAGATCGGCGCAGGGGAGATAGGACGCGGTGTAGCAGAGGACTCTGGGTGGAGAGGAGTGTCGTGGGGTTCGATGTTATGGATCGACTCGCTAGGTAACGGTAGATCTACGGGTTCCTGAGCTGGAGTTGTTGAAGTAGTAGTGTTGCCAGACCTCACAACGCCAGTAGTGTCGGTGGTGGTCCTCTCATCATCGCTCGAGCTCCAGAGTTCGTCTTGCTCGTCTTCCGACTCGGGCTCCTCATGGTCGGAATCATCAAGGGCAGGTTTGCGCGACTTCGCAGCTCGACCCCTGTTTGTTGAGCGCCCTCGTGCTTGGGACTTGCCTCTCTTACTAGCCTTGGTAGAACGAGGCGCAGGTATCTTGCCAAGCTCGTACACCCGACAGACTTCAACATCAACTCCAGCGCTTAAAAGCGTATCAATCCAAACCTGCCATATAAGCTATTAAGATAATTGCCAGCATCTGTTGTCAGACAACGTACCTTTTGGGTGTCTGATAGATTGTCGCCTGGCCCTTTCACCTCGACAAACTTGCTAGTTTTTTCAGCAGGGTTCCAGAGGAAGAGGTCTGGCACCCCGCCTCCGCGGTTGCCGTACTCTTCTGCAAGTAGTCTGCATATAGTAGCCAAGGCTCGGCCACCAAGACACTGGGATGGTATATGATTAGTTGAATGAAATAAAATTATCGTGCGAATTGCTTACATCCGCAATATCGAGTAAATCCTCTCGCTCGAATAAATCCCAACGTACGCCGACACACCACGTTGCGTTTTCCCTCTCCCGCGCGTCCACCGTTTCAAGAATTCGCCGAGCAGCCCCTTCATCATCTATCAATTCGGCAAGTCTTGCGTCAATGATCTCCTGCCGCGCGGTGGTAAAGGAATCATGAAAAAGATCCAGAGGTGCCGACTGGTATGGTGTTTCAAATGCCCCCGGAACTGGTGCGAAAAGAATGTCCCAGAAAATCATACCGAACAACGTAGAAGTAACACTTCCTTCGGCATGAACTCTAGTCCCCAAAACGGTCAATCGTTTACAGAAGTTGTGAAAATAGTAGATGAAACTCACCCTTTGAAGCCTAATGTTGCGTAATGTTCAAGTGCAAATGTTTCAACGTTTACTTCTCCCTCTTTTCCGATCCAAATGGATTTGCCTTTCCATTGGGGTCGTTGGGCTTTGGAGTCGGTTACCCCAGATGCTATTGATGAATGGCGTTCGGCTTGGTTTTTTGAATCTTTAGCGGTCGTCAAAGCAGGTGTGCCGGTCCGTTTGGCGAGGAGAATCGGCTGTGGAGGTGTGTAGATCCTGACGCCTTCTATCCGCCGCTCGAATGAAGTCTTGAGTTCACCATCGCCTACATATCGCTCTTCCGGCGGTATGCCAAGCCTTTTCTCGATTCGCCTTAACCTATACACCAGACTGGGCCGGCTACCTGCGAATGCAAAGCGTAAGCATAGTCAAGATTTGAGCGGTATGTATAGCATACCTAAATGTACCAGTTTGTCTTCTAAGCCCTCAAGCAGAATATCCCGCGCCTGACTCCAATTTGCGTCTCCCCTTCCCATATGGTTTTCGTAGATCAAAGCCATTCGGTCGTACCAGCCGCCCCGTCTACCGCGTCTCCATCGAGTTTGGCGAAGTAGCGCACTACGGATCTTCAACTCCATGCTATAGTCTTTCAGAAGCCCGAAGCAATGAGCCGCCTTGTAAACGACTCTAGTGAGGACGTGTCCTGAAGTACTGTTAGTTGAGAACAACGATGGCATTTATTCAGACTCACCTTCTTCAAATCTCTCCAGTCCCGGTTCGCATAGGGGTTTATCTTTGATATACGCAACAAGCGAGTTCCATCGGTCCCACTCCCCTTTCCAGAGTGCAATGACCTCCTGAGCAGCTTCTAATCGGTCGAACTTGGCTCCTTTGGGCAGTCCGGTTGGCCCTTCCCCAAGTATTTCGTCGATCCGGCTCAAAAGCTGTAAGCATTCCATGTACC